CACCAGGAAACTCTTATTTCTTGTACCTGTTCTTGTAACTGGCTCCCTTTAGGCCCCACCAAACTATGCATGCTTCTACATTACATTCCTGAGAAGGTTCTGTTCCAGAACACTGACCTTCACTTTAAACCTCCTTGCATACTTACACCTTCTGAAATTGGTTGCAGCTTTTGTCCATAACAGAAAAGAGTCAAACACACTATTTGGTGTGGTCAAATCACAGTTTTCCTCCTCCCTTCTAGTTGCAAACTTTGCTTAAGCTGTTCATTCTCCCCTTTTCTACAAGGGTACTAGGATTTTGAAAGATGATTCAGAGATTCATGACTGCATTGACATACTGTTATTATACAAATAGCATGTAATGTGGATAAAAAAATTAATCTAACCCTAGAAGCTTTCCTTCAGTGGAACGTGGTTCTTGGGGCAATTTATTATACTTTAAAGCTTTAGTCCTTTTTATTATCAGTTCCATACACAAATTGGGGTAATTCTCCATATTTATTTATATATCTGTGGTAAAATCAGATTACTTCCAGATAAAATACTGTTTTATAGTCATCAGGAGAACTGCATCTTTTATCTGGATTCCTCTAAAATACATCATGCATATAATTACTCATAAGAAATAAAGTGATGCAAAGATGTTTTTGCAAAGTGCCTACAGCAGCATAAAACCTTCCCTTTCCTAGGTATCACCAACTTTTCTACTACCAAAGAACTGTGGAAGTCTGTTTTACATTGGGGACCAAGATTCATAATGCTCTAATGCTATTTCAAAAGTGCAACTGCGTTCATAGGAAAAGAATGTGTTTAAAAGAGGTAATACATTGTATATTTGTATATAATTCCTTCTTTGAGGTAATGCTATAAAATTCTTTGCCCTGCACAGTAGCTAAATAACCATAAATGATCTTTCATGCATATGCAAATCCATCCCTCTAAGCACCTTATTAATTATTTCAAAGATACTTGGAGGTCACCACTCATGGAAATTTCTATGCATGAAGCCTCATTAATACAAGACACCACACAGAGAGATGGGATAGATTTTTGTTGCTATTTAACAAGGGCAGAGAGTATAATCTGTAAGATTTAGTTTTTTTATTTTAATGACCAGTGGAATTCGGCCAGCTCCTCTGCACTTCTGCAAGTGCTTCCTCCGAGCTGCTGCAGTGGCTGTGAGTGTGGGGCTGCTGCCACACTCCTGTGAACAGCTAATCCTATCAATGCACTGCTACTGTGCTCAGCGCTCTGCTCCTCCAGGCTGCCTCTTCTCAGCTGGAGTTCTGCTGCCTGGCACTCGATTAGCAGCTGAACACTAAGGAATTCATGTTCTTCTTCTAAAAATCACAGCAATGACACATTTTGTTTTGGAACAAAGTGAAGCTATGGCACTACTGAGGTGATATATCATAGCTCATCAGCTCAGATGATAGCTTTGTTTTGAAACCGTCTTATCTCCTGCTTAATTAGGCCCCATAATAGAAATCAAAGCGAAGCAAGGATATAACCACACAAAATACCTGAATGCAATGAAAAAAAATGCATCCTCTGGCACGTGTGCCAGGAAGCAAGAAATTAAACCTACTTGAGAAGCCCTGTTTATCTGAAATCCCTAGATCCTTTCCAGCTCAAGTTATCATACACTTGTGATGATAACACTGATCTCGTCTGTCACAGTGACCCTTTGCTGTAGCAGCTGCTGTTTATTTTTATTCTGTTGTGTGTATGGTGCTTTCACCTCTAGGTTGATCCAATAAAAGATATAAAAAACTTGCTATGTTGGTACATTCCCTTGATAAAAATCGGGAACAGTGAGTCAAATGTTAATGGAAACTGCAGGCTATGTTCATTATGTTATCTCTATTTTTGAAAAACACTAGAATGAACAGAACTAATTGGAAGTGCCAACTATTTAACTATGCTTAATTACAAAATCAAACCCTCCTGTAGAATTTGAGGGCAATGTGTGCACGTATGCCTTGAAGAAATGTGCCAGTTTTTAAGTAAATCTACCCTTACATGAAAATGAGCAAATAACTTTTAAAAATCCAAACCTCGAACTTCAAGACATCACAAACACTATTTCAGCATTAGTCTGTGGTGTTTAAAAATACATGTTTAAATGCAGACTCTTTTGAGCTCTCTGTGCAGCCTGGTCAGCTACCATAACATAAATCTCATCAGAGTGAATATGACTTTGTTTTGTATTCCTTTTAGAAGAAGGCTCAAACAAACCTCTATCTTTTCAATAAAGATCAGACCTAATGTTTTTTTTTTTTACTTTGAGTCATTCTCTATTAGATATAACATGTATTAAACCCACACTGCCAGAATAAGAAAGGTCTTGGCATGTCCTATGGTGTTCATTCCTGTCAAGGAGAATTCATTTGAGGCTTCACTGAGGTAATTAGAAAAAGCTGTGTCAAATAGTACTTTACCATACCCATCTGTAAATACAAACTGCAAATTGCAGTTGCAAAATGAAGATTGTGAACTGTAGACTGTAAAAATGCCATCTTATGCTATTCAGTAGAAGTACCATGATAAGTGGAAAAGAAAATCGTGTGACACTGCTGTGAAAGTTTCTTAAGTGAATTCATTGATGAGAGCTGCTGCATCCATAGTTGTGAAGCTGGCTAAAACCCCTTAGGTCTTAAGAGTAGGAAGAGGTTGGCAACACAGGCATGCCTCCTTCTCACAGATATGATGAAACAGTCTCATGACTTTCTCAAAGAACAAAAAATAATCATCAGCTCCCAACTCAAGTACAACTTAATACTAGAGACAACCAAATGACCTGTATATCAGAAAGTTAGGTTCAGATAGCTGCAGAAATGAACTGTGAAGTTACAACAGCTCTGTTTAGATTCTTCATTCTGCAAAGTACCCCAAAAGAGAATAGTTCCAAGTGCATTTTTTTAAAATGCAAAACTGCTAACATAACAGAGAAAACTGACAGAGGCAGCAATCAATGAGAGAGAAAAAGTATTGCAATTATATTACTATTACTACTGCTATTAGAATTGCTTTAAGGTTTATTATTTTAAAAACAACTTTCCAGTTTGGGGAGTGCTGAAACTTTAGGATTAGCAATATTTTAGTCTTGCCATATATAGCTATTATAACACTTGTAGTACAACACAGCTGAGACTAGACTGGCAGCAATAGCTTCTTTCCCATTTCCTCAGCTGAACTCTATCTCACTTGAACAGCACAAGTACACCATCCTTTGTGCATCCTCTACAGCATGCCTTTCTTAAGCCAAACCCATGCCTTCCTCTCCACTCCAAGACTGAAATTGCAACCCTGAGCACCCCAGCACCATCTTTTTGTGTATTCTCCTCATCCCTACTCTGCTTCCACTGCTCAATTCCCATAATGTTCAACTTCAGCAAACAGAAAAGAGAAATAGACTGGCAGGGGTAAAAACTTGTGAAAACTTTTTAGTCTCCTCTAAGAGAAAAAGAACTGCTGAACTGAGCAACTGGAGTTGAAAATATATGGAAAAATCCTAATACAAGTTTAGTGCAGCATGACTAGCAATGGGTTTACAGACAGAAGAGGCAGAAGGGTCATTAGTTTGACATGTCAGCCTGATCTGGAGGAAGCTCTCTGACACCAGGCACAGCAGCAAGGAGGCCCACAAGCGAGGAGAAAGATGAGCTGCCTGCTGTACCCCTGGCGTAACTGATCAACCTAAGGAGCTAACAGAAGAAAATGGAAGAAAACAATAAAACAAGGGGAAAAAGGAAGGATTCTACTCAAGCAGCTTATTAATATGTGTGGGAGCAGCAAATGGATTAACTTCTGGAGAAGCAAGGAAGGAGGCTGAGAGTACAGATTGACCACACAGTACAATGCTAATGTAAAGGTCAAGGAAAGAACACTGGGTCTAAAGTTCCCGTTCAGTTTCTCATGACAAGTTTTCCTACAAAACATTAAAAATTATTTTGTGTAGGATGACATCAGTGTGTAAATGCAGTAGCTGTTTAGGGGGAAGTAAAATAAGACCTGGCAACACAGCACATAAACAGCATTTCTAGTGAAATGTAAAGAACCATTGCTTGCTTGTTCTTGAAGTAATTAAAAATAAATAATTTTAAATATTTCTTACTGTTGTACTTTCAATATCGTCAAGGCATGTTTTCAGATTAAATAGATGCCACTCTAATAAGAACTTTTGTCAATTTTTCTCCCATCTAGTGGGGTTTGAAACTTATTTATCAGCCATTCAGGTAACCAGGCAAACCTATCTTCTAGGCAGCTTCTAATATTCTGTAAAATTATTCTCATATCATGATACAGCACTTAAGACAAACATATATGCTCCCATTTTAATTTAACACCAAGAAAAAAGAATGCTCTGTATAGAATATACTTCTTCATAGCAAAATTTTTGACAATTTTGCAGTCCACATGCCAGTGTAATTGAATCAATTCTCAAAACAAATCTTCTATATTCTATTTAACTCTTTGTTCAGTTAAGTCAAACCTTGTTTCCTACTCAAGTAAACACGTAACTACATTTCATTCAAAGAGGTGATAATTAGCAAGAATAACTTCACCAAAAGGAAGAGTATTTAAAATTCCTGTTGCAGTCCTTTTTCATTAGTGCTTGAAGACAGACCAAGAAAGTTAATAATTTACTTAATTTGAAATTGAAAATGTGGAGGTCAAGGTGTTTTGTTTTTTTTTTTTAAACTGGAGTGTAATGCTATCATCTGGTTGCACTTCATTATTATAAAATACTAATGTGAAGAAAGTAAACATTTGATTTTAAAAGAAATGCCCTTTAAAATCCAGTTAATTCTCCAGTTTACATGCTTAGCAAAATCCACTTCAATATTCAAATATTTTCTCCAACAAATTAAACAACTCCTATGAACGCAGTATAATTCCACTGATTTACACAAAATTAATAGGCGCTAAAAAAATAATATTATCCTGAAATCAAAATTACATTAAAAAAATTATAAAAAAAACCAGCAGAAACATACCTACACAGGGAAGGGAATAGCCAAGCTCTGGGTCATGGATGAACTGGCGGTCATTCAGCATGGTTACACAGTACAGATGGAAGCAGTCCAGGCAAATGACATGGCGATGCACACATTGGAACACAAGCACAGGACTCCTGTTAAAGACAAAGCAGTGAGAGTGATGAACAAGGACTGGACTGAAATCCAAAGAAAGCTTCATTTCAAACTTCTAATTTAATAGTAATTTTCAATTCACAGTACACAGGATAATTACATATGTAAAAACAGATTTTACCCTGGCATATTGCAGCACTTTTAAAAAGAGATGGCTTCATCAGATATGAAGAAATGGAAGTAAAGTTTTACTGAAAGTTGAAACTTTACTGAAAACTGAAACCTAAACCAAGAAAAAAGTCCTTTAGTAACAGATATCCTTTATATGAGGTGAAGAAAGATCATATATGGTAAAACATCAAATGGTGATAGGTAGGATAAAATAGTTATATGACTATTTAGGGAAGTAAATATTTTGTGAAAACCACCATGTGCCTTCAGCCTTTCAAGGCAGTCATTTGAACTCTGCAACCGAGGCATTCTCTTAATACTAATGAGTAAAGTAATTCAGCTTCTGGTCAGAAGTGTGTGATTCAGTTTGGGAGTGAGACACCTGAACTTAAGTGCTGGGCATAAATACAGTACGTGAAAAATCCCATATGTAAGTGAGATATTCCTGCTACAGTTGATACACTTAGTGGAGGCTGGAGCTGATCAGCCTCCAGTTACCTGCAGCAGGGTGAGCTGAGTCTTTTATTTGTTTCCATTGCCTGTATAGGGTAAGCCTCCATGGACCATTCCAGGAGTGCAGGCACCCATCACACATGCAGAGACTAAATAAAGCTACCCAAGCCTGACAGAATGCTGCTTGTGCAGATGCAGAGAGGAAACACTTGAAATAAGTGAGGACAAAGAGTGTGACTCCTGAGCTGATCTGCACTCAGAGACTCTCCAGTGACAGTCACAGCAAGGAAAGCCAGAGAGCCAGTGGTTTCCAAAAGCCCATCCAGGACCAGCACACTGAAGGTGAAAGAAAAATTGAGCAACACAGAAAATATTACACACACATGAAATGTGCCTTCACTGCAGGAACATGCTGATCAAACCTAATGGTTTTGCTCTAATATTGGGTAACTTCTGTTAACCCCTGATGGACATAACACAACTGTCTGTTCCAAAGTAAAGTGTGCTATACACTATTTCTTATCTTTCAGAGCTATTACCAACCTCAAGTCTCAACATGGCAAAAAATAAAGAGAGATGTGTTAAATTGAACACAAGAGTGAGATTCCCATTCAAATGTTGAATTACTTTACTCCTTTAATTTGCTTGTGAGTGAACACAGGCACACATTCACCCCAAATTTCAATTTTTTAGTTACTTGTAAGAAGTATACTTATTTTTAAAAATAATAGTATGAATTCTCACATATTTATGGTACTCCAGGAGACAAGTATTGAAATACAAAGTGAAATACAGCAGGACTTGTGATAAAATCATTATGGTTAGAAATACTGATACATTTTCTCTAAAACCTGAGATGATGCTTTGAAAATCCCCTGAAACAGTAAAACACAAAGACTTCAGTGTGGGAATACAGCTTCAAAATGTAATCAGTAATTTCACATACTGTATACAAGCATTTAATCTTCCATGAAAATATGTTTTAGTATTGTACATACTATATAATTCATGGCAGTGTGTTAGTACCTCCAAAAATATAATCTCTGTGTTTTAAGGATTTTCTTGAATAAAGCAGCTTAAAACTGAATTAAATAAAACCTCCCCATTACTAATCCTTATTAGTTGCCCACTTGCTGTTCTGAATGTACCAAATAATAATTTTAAAAAAACAGCTGTAAGGCAAAATGAGTTTAGCTCTGGACAGTCCCCAAGTCATTATGGAGAAGTAGAGAAACAGTTGCCTTGTCCCTACAGTGCAGAAGTCCCTGTGGTCACCAGTCAAATGTAACCTTCAGAAAAACTAGAAACACTTTAGAAAATACCCTAACATTTCTTCATAAATTGCAGATTTAATAAGATTTGCCTATAGTTTTAATGGATATCTCACTTTAAGGGTTAATTGCTCTTTTTTATTACTTCAGTGTCTGAGTATCTTTTCTAGTTTCATGGGAAGCTCCCTGTTTCTAAATTCACACCTCTCTGACCTTTACTTCAAAGACAAAATACATGTGTGTGGTGAGATGCATAAGAGAAGGCTGTCAAAAGTGAAGTATCTTAAAGCCAGGCCAGAAAAGAAAATAGTGTTATTAATATAATACTTCCACCTAAACTTGTATGAAATCAATACTAAAAGCACTTCATTATGCAAATGAACTACTATGCTCAGTTTCTGCCATAAATTATTTTGAGATAATTGATTTTGCTTCCTAATGTATCACAACTGTCTAAATTAAAACTAAAGTCTCCAGAAGGGGTATAGCCATACATGTACATATTTAACCTGCGCCTTTATTTATGTTAAATTTATCTTAAATAAATAAACTGCATCTTTATTTTATCTTAAAAAATGCTATCTTTTAACACCATCAGACTCCAAGCAATGTGTACAAGACAGATATAAATCTGGGTTCTGACTTTGTCAGAAAAAACAAGCTTAGCTCTCACACTGCCCGCTAATATTTCAGCCCAGGCTATCTGTGTCATAAGGCTTTGAGAAACTCAATCTGTATGCAAGGCAGATTGATCCAAATTCATTTGGCATTGGAGCAATTGCTGCAGTCCAACATTTGCACATTTTGTATCAAAAGAATCCAATTCTAGTTTAAAAGGGACATAAAAGTCTTGTTCCTGAGATCAGTAAAGATGAAGATGTAGAGATTACGATCACAATGCCCAGGTGAAGTTAGTGAATACTCATTTAGGATACACCAAGAGTTATTGCTAGAAGCCTTGCTTGTACAAAATGCAATTTATTTTAGAAAGGATTATTATGAAAGTAAAAAAAAAAAAAAATTGCCACAGTGTAACAAGGTCCCTTCCTCAATCTAACACAACAGGCTAGTAATGTAAATCTGACATATATTTTAGAAAGTGTTTCATAGGTTCCATTTACATAATGTGTTTGGCTGAATTAGAGGCTTCATGAGAATAATATATAAGAAAAATGTTTCTCACAGCAAGGGATAAATTGGTCCTTTTTGTTCACCAATTAGGAATGTAACCACTTTTAAAAATTGAAAATCCAACATTACAATGCATCACTGGAAATTTCCATAATAAGTAACTCACTCCTGTGCTTGGATTCCTTTTCATTAGAATTTTATCAGTGTGCATTGACTTAAATGAAAAAGAAAGGGGACCTTAAATCTTTCTGCTTTGTGTTAGTACTGTTGGATTAACTGTGGCCCAACAACAGCAGGGGTGGAAGTGATTTCTGGTCCATAAGCCCTCTCCTCCTCCCCTCCAGAACAGCAAGGTACAGATAATTCTCAGACAGACTACCACAGGATACTGGCTAAAGAAAGATACAAAGACTTGATCTTGTTTAGATAAGAAGCATTCTGAGAAATTGATTGTTCTGGTACACCCTGAAAATCTCATGATGGTTATAATTGTATAGAGATTGAGTCCAATGGCTATGAGGGGCTACTTAGAATAAGGAATTATTTGTAGACCTAACAGTGGATCAGTTGATATATATTGCAATGCCTACTGGAAAATATATGGGGTAATTTCTCTCTTGCTTGGTCCTTACTCTTAATGTTTTGAAAAAAGCTAGACTGAATAAAGGTTAAACTGCACACCACATATATGAGACCATTATTTTTTAGAAAATATGAGTAGCCACAGACTGAAGCACTTTAGGGCAAGGAATACATCTAAGCCTGCAGAAATATGTGAAAATCATGTTGGACAAATCTGTGAAACCGCCTTGAGGTCATTTCTAGGTGACAGTTGGATTTTTCTCACCTCAATCTCAAAATCTTAACCAAATAATAACAAAAAACCTTAGCAGATGTCTATAAGGCTGCCTTGATGGGATTACAGTCAGCAAGGCAAAAATAGCCATGTGGAGTTCCTTTCTCTGCAGTAAATAAATATGAATGCACACAGCTATATCAGAGTCTTTAACCCCACCTATGAGTACTATATTTATCATTAAACACTTCTGCATTTATAGCACATTTTTCCACTATGTCAATTTGTACTTTGTCAATTTTCCACTTTGTACTTTCCTGTACTTCAAAAAGCTTACTATATAAGCACTGTGAAATAATTTAATTTCTGAATGGATCTCCATGTCATTCTAAAGCAGATCTATTTGAGGTTTCAGGTCAGCACCATTCAAGAAAAGGTGAATCACTGAAAAAAATGTGTAAGGGGAAAAAAAAGGGGAAAATATAAACTTTGGTGACATGGACACTACAGGCACTCTCCTGCTTCATAAACAATCAAAAGAAAAACAAATAATATCCTTGAGCAGCAGTCAATCCGTATTGGCTCCATTCTTGCAACAGAAGAAAATTAAAATGCCTAAATAAACCAAATTATTCATCCATCATGTGGTTTCCTCATAGAACTGTATGTAGGAGAATATAGTCTTCTAATTCCTACAAAGCTGGCGACACTTCTGGCTTTCCTGTCTATCACACACATTCCACAATCTTATGCAAAACTATTGAAAGACTTGCCTGTTTATGATACTTAAAGTGCATGGTTTTCTTACCATGAAGATACTTCTGGGAACTTTCTGATTGAATATGTTATTAAAATATATTAGAATGATGCTAATATTTCTATAAAATAAAAATATAGAAAGTATAGAAAAATTGCCACAGTCATTTAGAATATAGGTTTAGAATTTATACAGTTTGGAGGAAAGTAGAGCAGCAAATCCTGCTTTCTAATGAGCAATATTTTATTATGGATTAGTAAAAACAGTGACCTATCAATTACAGGAAACTTGTGAGTAACAATCCAGGTCCCAAATATTTAGACAAGTGTAGGCATTTGAAATGGGTATAAAGACCTTACCTGAGAAAAGAAAAAGTACTAAGAAAAGTACTAAGAAAGTAATATCAGATATAACTTTGCAGTCATGAATCCATCCTTCATGGACGTTAATGAACAAAAAAAT